TTTTCCTCCCTACGAATTTCAAATTGGCTGGACGTGTACTCATTATCATTGATCTTTAACTTTGTTGTAGTTTTTCTGCAATGATTCCGTTTTTCGAGGTTTAGAAAATACTTTGTATTGTGCACGCCTTGCTCTTGCCTCCTGGCTCTGCTTCTGAGGATTGCTCCTTTTGTCTTTTGACGGATTAGTGCTTATAAGCTTAGATTGCTGGCGTAAATTTCATTTAAAAGCTTTTTGTCGCTGGGGTTCTTTTTAGTTTGCTCTAATAGCTGATTGGCTTTATTTTGTAATATAGATTCTTCATTTCTTCGTCGTTTGGCTTTAATTTTTGAGAATTTGATTGTAAAACCACGAATTACCACTTTGATGAGGTCCCATTTTAGACTTGAGTTTTGGACGCCTGAAGACTTGTTCTTAAAAAGTGGAATTTCTTCACGAAGTTTGTCAACATATTCGCAATCTTCCAGTAAAGAGTTGTTGAATTTCCAGAAGCCGGGTCCATAAGGTTGCAACAGGCTTTCGGATTTTAAGTGTGGCGTGATGACTGAGTGATCTGATTCAGGCGCATTGACAATGCTGCAGGACTGCACGTCTATGAAAAGGTCATTTGAAATCAGGAAAAAGTCTAGCCGAACCTGAGTTTTGTGAGACTTGTTTCTCCACGTAAATCGTTCTGTGTCCAGGTTGCGACGACGCCAAATGTGGGATAAGTCATACAGGTTGATAAGGGATTCGATTTCCTGAATAACGCGAGCTTTTTTCAAAATCGAGTTTCGTCCCTTCTTGTCCATTTCCATCAAGGCGAAGTTGAAGTCTCCTGCAACAGCAATATTTTCTTGCGCAAATTCTGCAAGTAGGTTTTGGAGATCTTTAAAGACGGTTAACTGTTGATTTAAAGTTATTCGGTGCATAAATGTTAACAAGTATAATGTGGGACTCGTCGACGATTAAGTCAAGTAAATTATATCTTCCATTTTTGTCGGTGATGCATTTTTCAACTTTTAACTCTAGATTTGGGTAACAAGTATCACAACCCTTTTTTTTTTTATTTTTTTATATTGCTAAACACGTAATTACTTACATTGCCTTACTCTACTCACAACAATAACTAACCTACTTACAATACACTACATTATTGTTATCATCATCATCATCATCATCATCATCATCATCATCATTATTATTATTTTTTCTAATGCTTTTACTGCCTTACAAACGTCACTTATAATACATAAAAAAACACCTATTTACAATACTTGGCATTACGTTACTTACTTGCAATACGCATTAATTACTTATTATGACTTACACATTACGTTACTTAAGGAGTTACAATACAATGTAATTA